GGGGCATCCTTCTGCCACGAATCAGATGTACGAATAGCTTTTCCAATAAACTTACATTCTAGTGGAGACTTAGCCTGGCGAATACGTTCCGCTGCCACAAGATCACCGGAACGCATTGCCTTAGTGAGTTGGAAAGCCTGCTCAGCTGATTTGAAATGCTCTCCAAATACTTTCAGGTCACAGGGGTAGAAGTTAGAAAGGATATTTTGTTCCCCATCGAAGGCTGCCACTTTTGAGTTGTTTTCAATGAACTGCGGGCAAACCTCATCGCCTGGTTTGTGGCCTTCATTTTTACAGACTGAGCACCGGGGTCCATTTTGGCACGCCTTGAAAAAATGACCGGTTTCCCAACAGTTTGTACAAGTAGAAGGCGGTTTTTCTACGAATTGCCCACGGTGGAAAATCTTGCACTTGAGACCTGCACAATAGCTGAAGCGTGGAAGAGCTTTGTTGGGTCCCAGAGGTTCTATATATACAAATCTGTTGCCATTGAGGACGCTTGTCATTTTGTTATTTTTAGGGTTCCTAATTTTTTCATATTTAAGATCACTTTTAGGATGGGCCCCAAGCTTATGAAGCATTTCATAGATGGCAGTGTCATCTACAGATAGCGGAACACCGCAAATAGTAATTTTTAATGTTTCGCTTTCTGGATCCTCTAGCCCCGCGGAATATGGGTTTGAGTCATAAACTTGAATGTGCTGATTATTTAAATCAAAGCCTTCTATGAGTACTTTGTCTCTGCTTTCCTTATCACTGACATAAATTCTCCATAGGTCACGGTCTAATTGTACGCATTTGACCATGTCGCCTACACAATGCATGACTGCTTCTAATAAATCAAAATTTGTAATTCTTTCATTGGATAATTTTGGCAATTCACTGTCTTTAGGATATACAGGTTTCAGTAGTTGTGCCATTTTTTCTAACTCAGGGTGCTGCACAAGGTATTACCGTTACAATACCCCGAATGCTTAGTGAAGCTAAGTGAATAGGTACTCACTGATCAGATATTCACAATAGTCAGGATCCATGCTTTACAATTTTTGTTTGTTTGTTCATTATTTTCACCTTACTGTTGCAAAATAAAATAAAATACTTTCATAAATATACATACACTGCGGGTTTTGAATTTTTTTTTTTAAAGAGGGAATTTCGCAAAATTCCTGTTCGGGGAGACAACTCCCGTTTGTTTACAATATGATTTAACGGCGGCGGGGATAGGTAGGTGATGAATTTCCCGCGGAGGGAACGCGGTTTACCTGTCTCACCTGCAGGCCAAATCCCGCGTTGTGTTTATACCGCGACGGGGCGCGGGAAATACGGGATCCGCGTTGCCTGTACTGTAACCATATCACCTGGTGTTAAAGATTAGAGATAACCATATCACCTGGTGTTAGAGATTAGAGATAACCATATCACCTGGTGTTATGGGGACCTCCTGTATTTCTTTGTGAAGACTGATAACTCCTGCACAGCTATCTTCTTCATTATAATAATACAATATGTCGTAAGATTTAAAAAAATGAAGCATGTTACATGTTTATTTATTTGAATAAAAATAATATCAATTATATTGTTGTATGTGTCCATGTACAGTTCAGTATTATAGCGCTTATTTGGATTTTTCAGGTTTTTAGCATACAATTTTCACCTGAAAATCGTTTAGTAATACTGAAATGAGTGAAATATGTGGAGATAACGAACAGTATTCGAGCTAAAAAGTCCATTAAACATTACAAAATAGAAGCAGAGCAAACACGGAACTCTGAGACTTCAGAGGTTGGATCAGGTGCCATGGAGGAGTGAGCATCCCCTGACGACCGGTTACACCCGACGTGTGCTCCTTATCTTGATCGGGAAATAACGGAAAAATCCGTCGACAAATCAGTGTGTAAACAATGGCCTAACAATTAGTATGAAAAAAGTCAGTCAGCATTTGACTTCATGAAACATTGTATTTGCTGACAAGGTCATTGTATCGACCATTGAACTTATTAAATGATGACTTTAGACGAGACTGCTGATATTATTGTTTCATCAACTTGTTTGTCAATAATTTACCTCGTTTTAGAAATTGTTCATACGTAGAGCATGCTCTTGCATATCGAATCAACTGAGAGATATAAACCCCGTATGTAGGTGATAAGGGTATATTGCTTCATAAGTAAGGGAAGTTGGCGATTGAAAAGTTAAAGTCATTACGTTTATCATAAAGCTTTGTTGTTAGATTACAATTAACGTCTTTTTCTTTATAAAGTTTGACTTTCTAACAAACTTTGGTTGGTCACATATGGTGGCCAAAATTCCTGACTGGTAATACCCCCAAGAGGATTCAGGATTGCTAGTTTTTAGGAGACGATATAACTCATCGTATTTGAACCAGCCTTGACATCTAGTGTCAGCTTTTCTGATTTTTTGCATATATTTTAAAATTTTATTTGGGCCCTTGATCGGTACTTCTCAAACATAATACTCATGTAAATCATGAAAGTATTGGTTCATTTTTCGATTGTCAGGTATGAACCATTACTGAAATTTGAACTGAAAATTCAGAACTTCTATCTCTGATTTCAAGCTCGCCTTCACCCCTCCCCCAACTATTGTTAATTTCTTTTGCTGATTTCAACAACAAACCTAAATAAACAAATTGACCATCCCAAACTTTTTGCTTTAGTTTCAAAGCCATATACTGACCTACATTATCGAAGCAACTAACTTCTGGTTCAGGAGTTAACTTTAAAAAGATTTACATCTGAATAAAAATCTGAGCGTTCAAATTTACCAATGTTGGCTGACCTAAACTCCCCCAAGTCCTGCACAGCATCAATCTCGCTCTCAGAGGGTTTCTGGGCATGGAGGAGGGAGGTGACCAACTCTTACGTCAGCTCCTCCAGACCTTTGCTGTCTGGTGTAATGGCAAGTCTTTTTTATGTCCTCTGCCCCTGGCTGGAAATACCCTTCCCCTTGGCATCTCTCTTTCTCTTTGTTGGCATTGGATCAGTATAGATCGTATACCTGCTGTTATTGTTTCCACTTCAGTGGGATATAAGGAGGAGGAGGAAGTTGCAGTACTAGTTAACTCCTCCTGATGCTGACTTCCTTAAAACTAGTTAGCTTAAACAAAGTTGAGTTCTTTTGTATAATTTTTCACTTAATTAAATGAAATTATCTCACATTCATTTCAATTATCTATTTTATTTGCTATTTCACAATCTACGAGGTAGCCCGGTAGAATCGTGGACAACGCATTTTAAAAGGAAATAAATAGACGCACTTAGCTATAATTTTCAGCAAATGTTTATATGTCATATTTGAGTACCACATTCTTTTTTATTTTAGAAAATGTAGACAAAAATAAAAATTTTATTATACTTATCTGATTTTATAGCTTAATTATATACTGCTGTCAAAAAGTTAAGGTTATCTAGTGCTTACGTGTGAAAATGCAAGTGATATAAAGAAAATGTGAAAGCCCGGACTTCTACTTCGAAACCTTTTACATTGAAAGCAACCGAGAATCATCTGTTAATTCCATCACAAGAATTTCCTTTTTTGTTCTGTTATACTTTTGTATTTAATATATATTATGCATTTTCATTTAATATCATTTACGCATTCGTGAATTTCATTAAACCATGTTACCGGGAATCATATGATAGTGACGTGAATCCTGTTTTATCTTCACAATTGTTTTTTCCTCTTTACTAAAAGATTAGAATTAGCATATTTTAAAATAGTGAAAAAAAAATTTAAAGCAGTTTTCACAAAATTTTACCAAAATCAACAATATAAAAACTTACAACTATTCAACTTTGTATACAAATATTCCCCACGATAAATTTAAGTCCAGGTTTTCTGACATCGTTGACAGCTGCTTTTTCAATAAAAATAGAACTCGAAAATTTATAATTACTTACCTTGTCATTGTTCATTTGCAAAATTACTTTGTTAAAAAAACAATCTAATTGTACACACAAGAACTCTTAAGTTGACATTAAAACGATGCTCGAGTTTCTGATTGACAATATCTATGTGGTTTTTGGAGACCAGGTCTTCCAACAATCTATTGGAATTCCCATGGGTACCATAGCAGACATATTTTTGTATTCATATGAAGCAGAATTTGTTCAAAACCTTTTACGTGAAAAGGGGAAAACACTTGTGGCCTTCAACTCGACATTTAGATATATCGACGACGTATTGTCAATTTACAATGGTTATTTCCATACTTATGTCAACACGATATGTCCCGGTGAGCTTGAGATAAAAGATACCACAGAGTCTGACACATCTGTTTATATTTGGATATTTTACTAGAAAAAGACATTAATGGCAATCTTACAACAAAGCTTTATGATAAATGTGATGACTTTTACTTTTCAATCGTCAACTTCCCTTAATTATGCAGCAATATACCCTTATCACCTACATATGGGATTTATATCTCTCAGTTAATTCGATACGCCAGAGCATGCTCTACATATGAACAATTTCTAGAACGATGTAAGTTATTGACAAACAAGTTGATGAAACAAGAATATCAGCAGTCTCGTTTAAAGTCATCATTTCGTAAGTTCTATGGTCGATACAATGACCTTGTCAGCAAATACAATTTATCATTAAGTCAAATGCTGACTGACGTTTTTCATACAAATTGTTATGCCATTATTTACACACTGGATTGTTGACGGATTTTTCCGTTATTTCCCGATCTTGACAAGGAGTACACGGCGGGTGTGACCGGTCGTCAGGGGATGCTCACTCCTCCATGGCCCTGATTCCACCTCTGAGGTCTTAGAGGTCTGTGTTTGCTCTGCTCCTATTTTGTAGTGTTTAATGGACTTTTGAGCTCGAATACTGTTCGTTATCTCCACATATTTCATTTATGTAACAAACTTTTTTTTTATTTTCCACATTGTCCCTAGTCTGATGAATGTAAACAGAAAAACTAGTTTTTTTTGTTTAATAATTGTTTATAAAAATAACCATTTGTAAAATAAATAATTATTAATAATAATACTTATATGTTTCTGATATAGTCTATTCAAGTATAAAAATACAAACATGTGCGCGATGAATTACACATTAAAAGAGTCTCTAATTCTAACATTGAATAATTACATATGCATAGATTTTCTTCACCATATTGTTAATAGTATGCTTTTATAACTGATTATTGAATATCGAAGAAAAGGTATTATAACATTTTCTTTGATTTGATATTTTAGTATATAAACATTTTAACATACTCTCTAAACGCTAAGAATTTTCTCATACAAAATACTAATAAATGAAAAAAAGAAATGATAAAATTCCGAAAATGCGTTTGCAAATATTAATCTCCCAACAAATGATGACAATTCACAACAGCAGGTTAGAGAAGTCTTCTTCACGTTTAATTACTAAGTAATTACAATAATATTTATAATGTTATATATATTCTCCTGTCAATTTATTTTTTAGTGTTTGGTTATCTCTTGATAAAAAAGTTCGTTTTGATAAACATATAAGGCTACATGTATACCACCTCAATAAATGCATATTGTTCTAGAAAAAATGAAGTTTTAAACTGACCAAAGTAAGAAACGAAATATTCCTATGATTTTCTATTTTTCACGATGGGATCACTTATTTCGAATTTCGCCTGAGCTTTTTCTGCCCCGACCATCAGTTCCTCTTTCTCCGGAATGAAATTTTTCTCGTCATCCTCCGTACTCCAGTCTGTTCTGTTTCTAGAAATCCATATAGCAGCCCCAATCAGCACAACCACAACACATTTAACGATGATTTCAACAGTATATTTTTTATAACGAAAATCTTCTATGTCGTACAAAGCGCATGCGCCCTTTCCATAACAATTCGAGCTCCAGAGTTTGCAGCAAGTATCGATGATTTTACCGGTTATCATTGGCCCTATCATCCATCCTTAAATGAAATGGGATGCGAAAACAAATTTTACCATATTATCACCACAGTTAAATGAATAAGATGAATTGCTAATGATTGCATTGTTTTAAATTACAATACCTCGATTTCTTGAAAGTTCATTAGCAATATACATAGTTGTACTTTTTCAGATATTAACCACTTAAACTTTTTTGGCACAAATGTTCACCGATTTTGAAGAAACATTACTATTATTTGGTGACCACCATATTTCTTATACAAAAATGTTGCCTTGTTTGATTGTGTTCATGAATATATTTTACAAACTAAGAGGTTTTATAGATGATGTGAACTCAAGTAATGTAATGAATTAAATACACATCACACATTGTATTTCATTTTTTATTCTTGCTATATATCCTGCGTACTACTTTTCCCCGTCAGTTTTGTCTGTAAAAATTGATCTTCGGTTGCATAGAAATGTGCTCTTTAAAAAGATAGGATCAGATTAAAATATACAGAGAGTAAATTTGAAATCCCTTTGCGGTATTAATACCATAGCAACCATTGCCAACCAATAAGATTGATTGATTGATTGTTTATTGCTTAACGCCGAGTCGGCAATATTTCAGCCATATTTCGGCGGCCAACCAATAAAAACAAAAAGTATCAGATTTCGTCCTTGGTATGTGTTACAAGGAACTTTATTATTTAGTAGCATTTAAACCTATAATTGCTTTTATTTTATTAAAGTGTATGACTTTATAAAAATGAATGAATAAATTATTTCTTTTGAATACTTTGTTTCCATTAAACATGGAACGCTGAGAATGTTTAAAAATGCCATTTTGCAAACTTTTCAAACTTTGGGGCCTGTTGCCATGGTAACCATGACACAACAATCAATTTTTGCCTGAATTTGAATTTACACTATCGAAAACCTTTATCAGAGAGAGTTTGGAGAAATTCTGATGCTATGCATGTTACATTACAGAGAATGGCTCTTAACATTGTCAGTATATGTTAAATGCGACATAATCACGAAGTCCTTACCAAGAATAGTCTGGAAAAGAGAGGACACAGCTACAGCGACGGATTTATCCTCATCAGACACACATCTATAGCAAGAGCAGAAAAAAAGATCATCGTACACCTGTGTCAAGAATAGAAAAAAAAAAACCAAAGACACATTTAATTAACAACCGAAAAAAAGAATGTTTTCGTTTGATCAGATGAATTTCAAAATATAAGATTTTTTTTTCAAATTCTCACCAAGTATGGCGCAGTTTGATAAATTAGAATATAAGACTCTTTGTGCAATGTGGATTCGAGATGTTTTCAAGAAAAGGGGATGACATGTCTAAAAATAGTAACGGCGCTACCACTTTGCTGAACAGTGAAGGGACTGGTATTACATAGGTTTTACATGTACGAGGGTTGTCCAAAAAGCATGTGGACACATGCTATTTTTGTTTACGTTACCGACACTGCCAAGTGTTTGCGGTAATATTAATAAATGGACCATGATTGAGTAAATATATTAAAAGCAATGCATAATAAAGTACGAACGTTATCAGCATAAATATTTTGTATATAAAAATCGCACGATCCAGTCCGACGTTAAGTCAAATTCATAAACGTCATGATTTTCATCACAAAACGATGGTCTTCCACATCTTGCAACGTTTACATGGACGACACTGCCAGGTGTGCGATAATACTACTATTTTATCAATTTGATATAGACGATGATGAGGAAACATATAAAAATCATTACAATACACAATAATTACGAATGTTATACTATATGTATATATTAGACCATTAAAATATGACGAAAACAAGTTTTGGGACAGCTCTCGTACTTGTTATGGAAGATCCACGCACCTGACACTGAACATGATGCTGGGAACAATGCAGATGGAGACAAATAAACAGTAGACGGCGCTCAGAATCAGGAAAGGCCAAAACATTTCACAGTCCGTCTTACACAGCCCGGGGGTCGCCGTTCCAACTCCCTCGATGCACGTGCAGTTCGTGTAGGCCTAGAAAGAATTTTTTCGAAATCCGAGTGCTTAGATATTTACTTAAGTTTATAATATTATTTTAAGAGATAAAAGATTAGAAACTTTTAGGACAAAAGTATCCATTTTATTTTTGCGTATTTGAAATAAAATAGTGTACAGATCTAGATACGCTTACTTTTTGGATAAAAAAAGTAAAGCAAAAGTAAAAAAAAAGTAAAGGGGATTCCCCTCCCACTTTTGTCCCAATGCTTTAAATGTACATGTACTTTTACCGATGTCGATTTTTAAAGTAAGAAACACTTTGATGTAAAAATAGTTTATGTACATCCAGCCTTTGAAATAATATTTCAATATTCCTCCCACCGGTCACGGTAGCCTAATAGAGGGCGTTCGCTTCTGATCGGGAGGCTCGGGTTCGATTCTCGTTCGCCGCGCCGCGTCAGACCTAAGGCGTAAACATAGGTAGTGACCGTTCCTTCGCTAAGCGCATGGTATTAGAAGTAAAAGTCACGGGTCTTTCGGATGAGACATTGAAAACCGAGGTCCAGTGTCACGGTAGGCGTTGGCAATAAAAAACCCTCACTGCTCAATGGCCCTGAGTGCTGAGTATAGGTCTAAATTTGAAGCCCTTCACTGGTATATGCTGACGTCTCTATATGATTGAAAAATTCTCAATGGGATGTAAAACAACATACAATCAATCAATCAATCAATATTCCTCTGAGATTATAATAATTTTGTTTTTAATTTATGTTTTACCCCCTAGCATTTACCCATTTAAGAAGGTTTCTTGTCCTGTAAATACGTTTATTTCAAATTTTTATGTTTAATTTTAAATAATTTTAATTATTATATTTTTTTCATTTGGAAGACCTACAATGCCCTCTGGTCCTGAAATACTGTTTCCACATCCAGCATGACAGGGCGTCAAGTAATTCCTATTATCTGAACCACACACGGGAAGGTATACCGTACTATCACAGTTACAGGCATTCAAACAAGTTGAATTAGCTACTGTATTATCCAGCCTGCAACATGACGATTTCTACTTCAGTAATATTAAATCAAGCAAAAATAGAAGACATGTGCACTTTACTAAATAAACAGATGACTGCCCTTGCAACTCCCTCGAATAAAAAAAAAAAATTAGACTTTACCAGATTTTGTAGAATGTGACGAGAATGATTTAATTAGTGGATAGAAAAGACATGTACGTACCCAATAATGCGAGGGTTCTGACATCCAAGAACGAATCCCAGTCCGTGAAAGATGATGGAGAATAGATCAAAGGATCCTACCAACTTGATACATGTGTAGGGGTGGAGTTTTTTAAACGTGGTCAAGAGACCTCCTACTAAACTCCCACAAAACGTTGTCACAAGTATTATCACACCTGAAAGAGAAGAGACATTGAAATAAAACACGGCTATCATCTTACAACAGCTGGACAAAAGTACCTTCACACCTGAAATGAAGAGACGCCATATTTTCAAAAAGGCAAGTCTAAAACAAGCTATGATCTACAGTTCTTCACAACTGAAAGACGTAAATTTTATTTAAAAGAAATAGTAATGTCTCATAAGAGCTGGACACAATTGAAAGAGAATCCTAACATAAAAACAAAGATAACAAACATAACTAGTGTCCCACCCAAATTATTCGGGAACAAATATTATTAATAGTACCTGAAAGACAGGCCAGAAATTCACTAGAGGGGTCAATAAGTTTCATTGCAGCGGTAAAAGAAACTAGAGATGGTGTAACAATCACTATAATTATACTTGTAGATAGTATTTGTATTTCCCGCGCTTTGTTCCTATGCCCTATCTACCCATAAGCCCTTGCAAAATAGCTTGGCCGACCAGAACAATTGAGGCCTGGTCATTCCCGTCAGAGAAGCGTAGCTGCAGACACGTTTCTACAATAGAAGCAGCTAGTGTACATGCAAATAGCAGCCATACAATCAGTATCTTGACTTTGGCACGGAGACAGGTCCGTGGTAAGTATTTACTTATAAAATTATTAATATTCGTTATGTATATAGTTTTTTTTTGGTAAATTTATTATTGAATACGTATTCGTTCTTATTTTTGAACTTGACCAGCTCTCACCATTTTACCTGTTGTTCAGTCAGGTGTGACGGTTAGCGAGAGTGTTCGAATGGCTTTTGTATTATATCGATAGAGTTTAAAGGTGTTATTGTACGCATTTTTTTTTGTATTCAAATTTGTTACATTATGTGAAATATTTTGTCCATTTAAATTTTGGTTTAAATGTCTGGGCGGAAGTGAATGACCGGAATTCGAAAGTAAGGTGCGCCATGTTGGCAATAATTTGTTATATGTTTACTGGTAACCATTATAATTTATACGTATTGATTTATTTATTTATGAGAATGAATCGCCAAACATAGTAGTGTTGCCAAACATTATTTAGTGAAACATGTGACTTAAAAATATTCGTCATTGTAGCGTCAAGGACACTGGTATGACATGTGCTGGACACATGCGCTAAGCTGAGGGGATCGTCGAGACACAGCGAAAGGTTTCAGGACTAAGGCCCGGAAGGATGCTGTGTGTGGGTCAAGATTCAGTGATGGTGGACAGATACAGATAAGTCAATCCACGTAACATTGTGTAGCTCGATATAGGAACACTTACTATTGGCAAACCTTACATGGTTTTCGTGCATAAGATGATGCAGATGATGGTGATGATGACAATGATAATCATAGATAAGGAGATGACGACTCAAGTGGGATATGTTTGGCATTGATACTTTACGTGAAATCTATACCCGGGGTTAATTGGTTAATAGGTTAACTGGTTAATTGTTGGATTATTGGTTACCAATTGCTATTATTTTTTATTTGTTTAATAGTGTGGAAGAGTGTGTGGATCAGAGTGTGGTTGTTTGTTTGAAATCTTCTTTATTATTATTTTTTTTGTAAATAAATTTGTTAAAACTTATTTGAATTTGTGTGATTTTTGGAGATAGCCAGCTTGACCACGTGACAGATGGAAAGAAAAAAGAAAAGGTTAATGTCCCATCCAAAATTGGTGAACAAAACAATCACCACACCGTATTTACATATGAAATAGCAACAAGATTCTTCAGACAAGAACCATGTTGGATTATTGACCTCGTAAGTATAAAAAAACCGTCAGCAGCTGATTGAAAAGGCAGTAAACACACGTACTTATCTAAATACAGAGAAGTGAAATAAACGATCTGATGTTCTTTTTCATATATTGTATACATGTGCAGCTCACCAAATTTTGCATAATCAATTTAAAAATTGAAATAATTTTTGAAAAATATGCCAAATATAAAACTGATGATAATTTATAAAATATAGTCATAACCGTGAATTTTACGAGTTCGAGTGATTGTTAAAGTATATTTAAGAATAAGGAAAAGGGGTATTGAATTTAAGAGCCATTCTCTGTAATCACTTGAACTTTTATATAGGAGCTGTGGCACGCATAGTCTCAGAATTTCTCCATACTCTCTATGATAAAAGTCTTTGATACCGTAAATTCAAATCAGGCAAAAACTGGTTGCTACGTGTCATGGTTACCATAGCAACATGTCGTAAAGTTTGAAAAATGGCATTTTTCAACATGTTCAGAGTCCCACAGTTAACGTTTGCAGCAAAGCAAACAAGTGGCAATGACTGTTTCTGAAAGTTGAAGGTCTGATGTCTTAAATGCATGATAAACATGTTTGGTAAATCAACTATAACATACATTACTATGGAAACAAAGTATTCAAAAGTAATAATTTTGTTCATTTAATTTTATAAAGTCATACACTTAAGAATAAAAACAATTATAGGTTGAAATGCAAGCAAATAATAGACAAGAGATCCTTGTAACATATACCAAGGACAAAATATGATATTTCTTATAGGTTGGCAATGGTTGCCATGGTTTTAATACCATGAAGGGATTTTAAATTTACTCTCTTAGTGTTTAAATCTTATCCTATCTTTTTAAAAAGCATATTTCTATATAACTGATGATCAATTTTTAAAGGCCTAGGTGTGACCCTAATTTTCACATTTCAAAAAATTCAATTTCAGTTCTTTAAATAGTGCGTTGCTATGGACATAAGGCGAAAAAACATGCATAAAAATCTGAAAAATACTCTGTTTCCTTGGATACGTGCCCTTGTATGTAGATTCCCAAAACTTTTATGATTGATATATGTGAACAACTAACCTGACTTTCAATTTTGACTACCACCCAATCTCTAACTGGATGCAAAAAGCTGGCACATAGGGTCTAATATTGACATAAAATTAATCAAATCGAACATTTTCTCTTCTTGGTTACCATAGCAACAGCATTGTATTTTTCAACAACCTTTATCAATATATGATATTCAACTTTAGTTCTATGAGATAAGTACTATTCAAGGTGATTCAAATAATATGTTTCTTGATTAAAAGGTTAGTAAATTCCTAAGGCAGCAAAAAAATATCACTTTAAACAACTAGTACTTTGTTTCCATGGTTACACTGCAAAGTAACAATTAATCTCAATTTTTCTTATGTTGTCGGTGTTGCAAGGTCCTAAGGATGTATATGTGCCAGTCATGAATTTTATTGTTTTTCCTCAAGATAGTAGCATTAATCCAATCATAGCAACAGATTTTGCATGGTGACACTGTGTTACCATGGCAACCATGAGAGTTATTTTTAGAATAATACTGGCAATACCTAATTACATAAGGAAAATATTTTTCATTGCTTTTCTTAGGTTTTTGATTGAGTTTGATCATGTAACATCTATCATTTGTGAAAATTGAACGTTTTTCAGCATTTTTCAGCATCTAAAATGTATTCCAAATGTACCCATGGTTACCACTTACTTAGAGATAAATTCTAGATAGTTTCTTTATAGCATAAGTGGTAACAAGGTGTCATGTTTTTGGGAGAATAAGTGTGTTTGTTTTTCTTAGTCTTTATTAAGACTTAATAAAGATTTAAAGTAGCTGAAAATCTCATTTTTTTCAACTTTTCTGGTTGTTACCATGGCAACCAAGACACATAGCAACGAAATTTTATTTGATATATGTTTCTGGTGTCAAGTTGTAATAATGGGCAAAGTTTCATCAAAATCGGTGGCCATGCGTGGCAAAGAAGTTTAAGTGGTTACAGAGAATCGCTATTAAATCTTCTTTGTGTGTGCCTAAAGTATGATTACTCTTGGAATAATTTCTTGATACTCACCTAGTAAAGCATTGGCGTAGTACACTGGAACAGAAAATTGAGTCTCCAAGTATTTTGGTGTAAAGGCAATGAAACCCCCGACAAGAAATAGAACCAGGCAAGAAGCAAACATATTAAGCGTAAACCGGGCGTTAGATAGGATCCGGATTATCTTCCGTATCAGGTCTGAATAATAAAAACATTAGAAGTACTCAAAATTACTGATTTGAAAAGTTGCAACAGTCCATTCCATATAATCATTATAAACATTATTCTGGCAGTTATAATTATTGTTTTTAAAGAATGATTTTTGATTTCCTGGAGTGTTATGGAAGCCTCAAAGTGCCTATATAGAATAAAAGTTATCTTGTAGCCACAAATATTAATTCTATGTTGATAATCAGTTGTTTATCTAACAAATGTCAATTGATTATATCTACCATGTACCCATTCTTGCCATCCAATAATTTTGGTAAAGTATATGATCTTTTAAGCTGCGGTACTTATTTAATTCCTTTTATTTTAATTTGTTCGCTATCATGTATAATTTTGGTAACCGATTTCATCTCTACCATCAGTTTCTCGGCATCATGCCGCCATCATTGTTGCATGGTTTCTTTCTCAAAAATCCGAGGTATTTCTGCTTGCCAATATGAATAACTATAAACATAGTATGCATTAGAAATAATTTTGAAACAAAGTTGAGCCTGCATTAGAATTTTTTTTTATTACGTAACGTATAGTTTAGTCGGGGCTGTTCAGGTCCGCTTAGCTAGCCTGCGTGCTAACATGCAGTTGTTATAACATTAAATATAATTAGTCGTACAACTTCTTAGGGAATATTGCGGTGTAGTAAACGTACATCAAAGTCCCCATACGCCAGGCCAATCAAGACCCCAGCCGAAAGGGCCATTGCTACACCCACCATGGTGGTCCAGACTTCACAACTGGCACAAGTCCCGCAATCAGCTAACCAGATTACTCATCCATTTGTTGCTGCCCTCGACCCTCATTCCATAGGGGACCAGATATCTCAAGTCCAACAAGCAATAAGGCAGCCCATATGCACAACACAATCTGAAATACAGCAAGCTACTAGTCATCCACAAACTCAGCAGACCTCAGCCGGTAACCAAGATGTCGCAACACAGGAGCAATCCATAGCAATCACTACACCGCGTATGCCACCAACTAACTCAGGTGAAACTCCATTAATATGTATTTCTGATGAGCTTGGGGTTCATGTCCCCTAGGCCATCCCCAAAAAATATGGTCTAAACAATACATTGATTTGGCCAAAGTTCTTTTATTCAGAAACGGACCTGCATAACTTTTCCATTGTAGAAGGTCAATTGGTAATCGAATCCCCCCCAAAAACTAAACAAAATCACCACTATTCAAAGTTGGGTAGATGCTTTTTTGATATATTCCAGCATATACCTTGCTAGGAACCCCTCAGATATTCAGGGCATATTGAAATACATGCACACGGTACGCCTAGGCTACAGCCGAAACACTAATGGTAATTGGCTCGAATACGACAGACAGTTCCATCTTAAAATGTCCAAAAACACACCCATTTCCTTCGGATCGGTTGACGCAGAGTTATGGTCAATATACATGCAGTCGCAACCTAATTATACTGCTCAACAACCAAAAGCATCACTTAAATGTTTTGATAACAATCTCAAAGGCTCATGCTCCAAACCCCAGTGTTTCTACCAACATGCATGCATACATTGTAACAAGTCCCATCCGCGCATACACTGTTGGTCTTTCCAGTCGTCTCAAACTCAGTTTGCGAAATCTAATCCCACCCATCCAATATCGGGCCAGCAAAATTATACCCAACAACCCAAAATTAATTTTCGACCCTATCGCCCAAGGCAATACCAGTCACCAAGACCAAGATTTAACACACCTAGGTTCTACGCCAATTAAGCTCCCAGTACCTCAGAAATACCTAGATCAGTATCCTTAAATTCATGATGCTCAACTGTTACTTAATGGATTCACATCTGGTTTTTATCTGAATTACGGAGGTCCAAGAGACTACCGGTATTTACAACCAAAAAACATGAAGTCTGCTAGGGAACATGTGTACAGTACCAACCAGACCCAACCTGACACCTAAGCAGTCCCAGAAAGCAGTCCCCGGGACTGCTCTGGGACCGCTGTGGGACTGCTCTGGGACCGCTGTGGGACTGCTCTGGGACTGCTCTAGAAAGCAGACCCAGCAGTCCCTGGGACTGCTTTCTGGGACTGCTTTGTTCACTCATGCATGAAAAAGGTTCTGAGTGACATGATAGCTCCGCCCCTTGTGTATTCTGAATTTGCAGGCTCCCTGTTGTTATTTTGTTTACTTTCAGCAGAGAGGTGTTTAAGATAAAGAATAAAAAAAACAAGGATTTTTTACATTTTAATAAGTAAAGATAGATATACATGTAATTACTTAATGTCTTCAGGGGCTGTAAATTTACACAATTGTAGTCTAGAATTAATTTTAAAAAAATGAAAGTAGTTAAAAGGGAAGTCAGGAGATGACTTTTATCCTTTAAATTAAACTTTAATACTGACAGGTGTTTGAAAAAAAATATATCTAGGCCTATTTAATTAATTAATGCTAATTAAAACTTTAATACAGGTGTTTGAAAAAAAATATCGAGGCCTATTTAATTAATTAATGCTCTCAAGTTACGGAATGTACTCAAAGTTTGCATTAGCACTATTTAAAAACAAACAAACAAACAAAAAACAAACAAACTTGTCATTACAATAAGACATTCAGAGGGACGTACTTCACTGGATTTTTTTTTTTAATTGAAAAAGCTAAAACCATATGCATGCTAAAAAAGAGCATTCCATGCTATTTTTTACCGCCCTCAAATAAAACCTAATAGTTTATTAAATGACCATGAAATAAAATTATTCTACCATTCTTCAGTCATTTAAAATATTATATTTGTGAATGTTTGTTGGGGGATTTAGTTATGAATTTGTTTTTGATTTATAAACAAGTAATTAAAAGAGTAAATTTATAAACATTTTAACTTATTTCTTATTTGTTTTGTTTGTGTATTCCTGGCCGATTAATAAAAAGCAATACAAATGTATAAAATGGTGTCAACACCTGAAGTTTCAATCGCCTTCGGGCATGATTAGCAGAAAGTCAATGCATGTTATTTGGGTATCAGTGTTACACATCACTGAACATGCTGGTCAACAATGACACTAATTTCAATCTATGTACTGCAAAAAATCTTCGTTTCAATAAATGTGTATAAATTTATTTTGGGATTAATTAATTTTGAACATAATCTGAGGGTTCCATTCGCGTGATTTACAGATGTACACTCAAACGTTTATCTAATAAAAGTATTATTGTTTTCTGTTACATAGATAATTTAACGATAATTAAATTGGCAAGTCAGTGAAAATAATCATGACTGAAATATAATACACAAAGAATTTTTCAAAACCTCCAGTACTTAAGAAAACTGCATTCAGAGTATAGTATGGAAATCGGCCTTGCTTTATAATTATAAGGCCTATGTAAAGCTAGTTTTGATAGAAAATAAATAACTCAAGCTTAATTATCTATAAAAAAAAAAATAAATAAAAAATAAATAAATATGGAAACCAATATCAATCACAGTAATTTAGAAATTGATTTATTTTGGTGAAAAATTAATATACCACAAAACTGTGTTTAAATATACATGTTATTTATAGGTGTGAACGTCTTCTTTGTTCAATATTTATTATTTGTTTCTATACGTGTAGTGTGATTTTCTTATAATAACAGTTAAAAAATGACTGTCGCATGAGAATTGATACTGCTCAGAAAGAAATGGATCATCAATTTCAACTGCCTTTTATAGTTACATTGTTTATTGGTAATCTTATTTCTGAGTAAGCTCCGCCCATTAAATTAATTAACCCCGCCCACTGGGACTGCTGGGACTGCTTTCTGGGACCGCTGGGACTGCTCTGGGACCGCTGTGGGACTGCTCTGGGACCGCTGAGGGACTGCTCTGGGACTGCTTTAGCAGTCCCAGAAAGCAGTCCCCGGGACTGCTCTGGGACTGCTTTGTGTCAGGTTGGGTCTGGTTGGTACTGTACGAATTATTGACAATTATCAAAAAAGAAATAAAATTAGGTCGCATGGCATGCCCCTTTCCTAGCCCCCCTTTTCACAATCTTAGGTGTAACCCAATTGGCGTATTGCCTAAAAAAAGATGGTGGATTGAGGTTGATTTCATCCCTGTCAGCACCTATAGGCAATGGAATCAATAAGCATATTGACCCAATTTTATGTTCAGTCTCCTACAGTTTCTTTGACCAGGCAATTTCTATGATTAAAAAAAATGGCAGAGGGGCATTACTCTGTAAGATGGATTTGTCTAGTGCATTTAGACTTTTCCAATTAACCCAACAGATTTTTCATTGTTATTTATGTGTATTCAAGACAAATATTATTTTAACATCCGCATGCCTTTTGGTTGTTCCATAGCTTGTTCAACATTTGAAAAATTCTCATAATTCCTGCACTGGCTAGTAGCGCAAAAGGCCCAAAAATCAAAATATCATTCATTATCTAGATGATTTCTTGTTTGCTGGGAGACAAAATACTTCACAATGTTATGAATTTGCCAAAACATTTCAGTTAACTTGTAGTGAGTTAGGCATCCCAATAAATGATAAAAAAACTCAAGGCCCCTGTATAAGATTTCTAGGTTTTCTACCTTTAGGGATTGACACTGTGGAACAGGTAATCTTTATCCCCGACAACAAGGTTATAGAATTTCATTATAAGCTTACATCGCTCGTTTCTTCCAAAAAGTAACCCTCAAAGAAATGGAATCACTGTTGATTCCAAAACTTTTTTTTTGTTAAAGCCATCCTAGGTAGCAGGACATTTAATCGTAGGTTTTACAATATAACAATTGGCATTAAGGTTGATCGATTGTTGTTTTACGTCCCATTCGAGAATTTTTCACTCATATAGAGACGTCACCATTTGAAGCCCGGTGAAGGGCTTCAAATTTAGACCTATACTCTGCACTCAGGACCATTGAGCAGTGAGGGTTCTTTATCGTACCAATGCCTACCGTGACACGGGACCTCGGTTTTCAAGGTCTCATTCGATAGACCCGTGACTTTCACTTCTAGTGCCGGGCGCTTGACGAAGGAACAGTCACTACCTATGTTTACGTCTTAGGTTTGACGCGGCGCGGCGAACGAGAATCGAACCCGAGCCTCCCGATGTCGAAGTGAACGCCCTACCACTAGGCTACCGTGGCCGATTTGGCATTAAGAAATATTACTGCTTGATAAAGGTTACACAAGCTGTTAAAGAGGATGCTAGGGTTCGGCTTACATTCCTCAAAGAATACAATGGGTGTTCACCATTCCCTGAACTATCTTGGTCATGTAATGAGTCCCTTAACCTTTTCACTGATAGTTGTGGTTCCTGCGGTGGAGGTGCAATTTTTCAGTATCACTGGGCAGTCATTTCCTGGCCAGCATCATGGGGTCCAGATATTCGTAGAGATATCACCTTTTTGGAACTGGTGCCTATTCTCTTAGCTATTTGGGTTTGGGCTGATCATTTTACTGCAAAGAAATTATTGTTAAATACTGACAACTTTGCATTGGTTCATATATTAATTCCCAGATCAGCAAGTCTCAGAGAGTCATGACACTTTTAAGGCCATTAATATTGTTATGCATCAGGCATAAGATTCAGATTAAAACTATTTATTCCAGGTAATCAAAATTCTACTGCATATTTAATTTCTCGATTTCAGTGGGAAAGATTCAGTCTTGGCTCCTCGAGCAGACAAGAATCCAGCCAGTATACCTCCGGCATTAATGTCTCTCTTAGACCCTATGTAGAAAGTTTGCTTGAAGCAGCAATATCAAAAAACACTGCTTCAACTTACCAAAAAAGCATCAACTCTTTCGAAACCTTTCGTTCAAAATATGATTTTGACTTGTTTTGGCATCCACCAGTCCACAAGATCATTGACTACATCGCATACCTCCGTGCAAATCAAGTATCGTATTCAACAGATGTTACTTAAGCGGTATTAGTTACAAAATCCAGTTAGAGGGGGGTATTTACAACACTAAAACCTTTATAGTTAATAGAATGGTAGGTTTCCTTAGGCTAATTCCGGCAAAAGCCTTACGATCCCAAGTTTTCCTACAAATGCTGCATTGGATGATATCTATTTTACCTACAGTGCGCTCAAATAAGTAAGAAGCTGCAATGTTTTTAACTGCCTTTCAATTGGCATTTTTTGCACTACTGCGCATTAGCGAATTTACATTCACCAGTAACTTCACACCTGTGCTCTCCTTCCAAGATGTCGCCATTGATGAAGTAAAAATTTCTTTGTGTATCAAAGGTTCAAAAACTGATCAATATCGCAGGGATTTTAAATTACATTAAATTCTCAAACTGAATCCTTATTCAAGTACATGCACAATTATTTGTCAATTAGACCTCAAATACAATGTCCCTTTTTCTGCCACCTCAGTGCTAAAGCTCTCACCAAATATCAATTCCCATCACTGCTACAAAAAGCTGTCAAAGAACAAGGTACGGTTTCAGTACAAATCTTGCCCTGTGATTTTCTTAAAAATAAAAGTGATGTAAAAAATTAAAACTCATGCTTTTTGAATTATTGAAATTCCATGCAGAAAGATCATACAAATCTTTTTTCTCACAGGACCTTCCAAATGCTAATTGTGACGTCATTGTGACGTCATAAACTTGTGCATTTTCCCGTATTTTCTTAAAAAGTTGCAGAAGACATCAATTTTCAATGGAATTTTCTTTCAGATAATATTGTCCACAGGCATCGCCCACAAAGATTTTGAGATATGTGATTTTTCAAAGAATTTTACACAACATATCTAAAAATTAACGTGGGCGACGGCTGTGGACACTCATTTTGAGCCCTTTTCTGTTTAAAATAGAGAAATGCATCAAATTAATGACGTCATATATCCAGAATGGTACTCCATCCTGCTATATTCTTTCCCGATTTATTACAGTCATATACTCAACTAATACTTAAGCCAGTTTCAAAACTTTTTGAAAACATTAAATTCTTCTTTATTGGTTTAGAACATCTAGATTTAAATCACATTCATTCAGAATAGGAGGGGCTACTCATTTGTACTTGCAAGGAGTTTCTGATGATGACGTTATGTCTAAAGGAAGATGAAAATCTAACGCATTCAATTCTTATATTAGATTTTAATGGTATTGCTTATGCCTGCAACATTATCGTATTCTAACTGAATACTAAGTTTGCAGGTCATACAACTGTTTGAATTATCGGATCCTCCACAATTCATTATGCTGCCCTTTACGCTGACAACCAATTTGGAAACCCTCATTTAGAGCTCCAACAGCACAATATAACAGTATATTGGTCTGGTAAGAGTGGCATGGTTTGGGAGGATATAGAGCCTACAGTTAATCATCTTGTTGGCCAAAAAGGGCATCACGATTTTGTACTGATACACTGTGGGGGCAATAGCATAGGCACAATGCCATTGCGTAGACTTCAAAAGTATATGAAATTAACTATTGTAAACTTACAAGTCCTTCTGCCATACACATGCTTTATATGGTCCCAAACACTCCCAAGAAATTACTGTAGACACATACTCTCAAACATTGCAACTGAGAAAGCCCGGATAAGAATTAACAAATCCTTAGCACCTTTCATAGTAGCACGTAATGGTGCATATATGAAATACCCAGATCTCAAGCAATGAGCTTCAAATTTATTTCCTGATGGAACACATTTGTCCAATACCGTTCAGGTTATATATTTGAACATTATCCGTCAGGGATTACTCTGCATTGTACGTAGTAACGCCAAAGTTTATCCTCAACCTTCCTCCGTGTAAATACACAGTCCCCCTGTCACGGCATTGGGGCAAAATTTTGTCCGCTTGTGGCGGATGTCTTCATGTATCATATTTTATTTATCATACATGAAGACATATGGCCGAATTTTGCTTAAGCCTGCCTTGGATTCTGTTTTCTCCAGGTCCATGGCAAATAATTGGGCTTATTTTAATTGACACATTGATGGAATACATTGAGTGATTGAAAACATTGATGCACTAATTGATTGTCATATGGACTAAATGAAACATTCATTGATTGAAAACATTGATTCATATGTTGTTTGTTGTTTTTTGATTGAAGTATTGTTTATTTGAAATATTGATCGATTGATCAATTTATCGAGTGTTGATCTTAGATCATAACTAACCAAAGTCGATGTAGATCACGCATTTTAGTTTTATGACATATTACATAATACAATAATATAGTGGATTGATATAGTGATTGTCAAATCTAAATTAAACTTGTATTACTAAAGTAAAAACATAACAAAGACTGCCAATACTGTGTTGTTGATCTATTCTATTGATATAATATGAGTTCAGTGTCTTAACGAATTTCTTTGTCAAAGCCCTACCCTTGGCGCCCGCCATAAAACCACTTTTTGTGGATGACTCAGCTTCCGCTTTCTTTGGTAACTCCTTCTTTTTTCTTCCCGGCATCCTTTTCGGGAAACACATTAAAGGAAAAGATACGACAACAGCTAGCGCCCCAAACACAATGAACCCCAACCACCACGCCCCAATCCACCGAGGGTCCCGTACATTGATCTGAACCTCTATAAACCATGATAGCTTTTATGAATATCAAAACGAAAAGAATTGTTCATAATTACTATGATAGTTTAAGATTTAAATTTCGAATGATCATCTATACTTTTTCAAAATTTGCAATAAACAATATATGACTTTTGTTTAAGGAAATATAAGGATTTATCAAGCCAAAGAAGCATAATATCAAATGAACCGACTGAGACACCTTTAGCGGTATTTTCAGTTTCACTGCTTCAACTGTTCGTCGTTTAAAACAATTCATCATTTTGAAACCAAATTTAGACGTTAAAAAGTTTGTATTTTACTTTTACCTTCCAGGGTAAAATACATTTGACTGAAAACAGCACCTAGACCAAAGCCCAGCCCGGGCCCAAACATTCCCACAGCCGTGATTATACCTAAAATGTAGGACACCATTTACAGGTCCATAGGACATGTATGTATGTACACTATGACACAATGTAAATAAAAATACAATATACAGAATTTAAACAATAAACTTCCATAAATAAGTAAAGTAGACAAGTGTGATTATAGCCCCAATCTTGGTGAAAATGTCATTCGTTAAAATAAATAAATAAATAAATAAATAAAAATCCCCACATGCTGCATGCATGCGCCTATAACCTTACCTAATTCAGTTAAGATATTAGTAATTTTCCAGTATCCCTCACTTATGAGGACTTTGAAATCGAAATAGTGTAGTGCAAAAAATCGATTATCCAAAGTAAAGAAGTTTTAAAAAATTCGAATATATCCTATAATACTAATAATTTTACTAGCAATACTATCTCATTATCTACGTTTCTATAACCAGTGCCTAAAAAGTTCATGATTTGAGTCCTTTTATATCGTGACTAAGGAAAAAATAAACGATATTGTAATAAAGTGCTGATTCAAATCGACACTACTGGCGCCAAAACTACTGAACTACTAAACGATTTAAAAGAAATGTTACCAGAATCATGACTGCATTTTTTTTATTTTGTGCCCACGAATTAATGAGGGAAAAAATTACTATATGTACGAACAAAATAAATATTCCCTACCTAAATAGCAGGCGGTGTTCCGTTTGGGTATATTATCGTCTATGTAGGTGATAATGTAGGGTTGTCTAGGGGCTTTCCCAAACCCCTGCGCCATCATGCAAACAGCAATGATAACAATAGCAACAGTAGTAAACTCTGTTGGTGCACCGATCTTGACCACTTTGGGATCACAGCTTTCTGCGGGAGTATTGTTCAATTGGGAGCACAGCTGATGGTGAAAATTTTGAAACAAATCAGTCTTCTCAGAGGAAGAATTGGAACCAAGATTTTGTTCTTTATGATTGTCAGGTGCGAGGAAATATGCTAGAGAGCAAAAGATCCCGGAGAGCCCGAATAAAAATGTGGAAAAGAAAAGGGATCTGGGAATGTGCACATTTCTTGCAAGATGGGCGACGAAGATCGTTATAAGTAGAAAACCGATGTCGTTACAGCTCATGAGGAATCCGCTCTGAGTGCTATTGAAGCCAAACTGTTTCTCCAGGGTGGTGATTTGGGACGACATGTAGACGGTAATGGCAGAGGTACAGAGATGTACTGGGCTATAGAGTGCTACAAAAACCCCGACCCTCGCGCAGCGCTGTAGGAAGGCGGGTCTGAAACAACCAAGCCCACACTGTTCATCAGTGTCTGCAGACATCGTCACGATCAAATGGAATGCCTAAAATGAATTGCAAAGTTTTTCACAAGATTTGAGATTCGATATGTATGTATGTATAAACCTGCATATTCCTGAAAATTGACTACCGTGGAAAACCTATAATGGGGGTTTCCAAATAACTTGTTAACTATAGTAAATACTTTTATACTTTGATATACTATGAAACTTTACTTAAAAACTTTTTTTTTAAATGAAGGGCCTTAATAAGTTTCCAATTACTGTAGACGTACATTTTTCCGTGTTGGATTAATTTTCGCTATGTACGCGGTCACAAATTCTCTGAGGAAATTTATCACAAGGTATTTAAAGTAAAGTGGCAATTCAAGGAATCTACATAATTTTTAACCAGCGTATTGCCCAGAAATTGTGAATCCGCGGAATTAAAACCCCGTGAAAACAGTACATTAACAATACACACCAATGATGTAAACTTTAGAAATAATATGTGATATACCAGTAGTATTTCTTTTTAATATAATAAAATTGCATCTAAGACTTGATGAAAAAAATATAACAGTTTGAAATTCATAGTACAAATACAGTACGGTACTTTGATTTACTATAGTAAAAACTTTAATATTATAGTAAACTTCAGTTAACTATAGTAAAGTATATTTACTATAATATTTAATATTTTTCTTTAGGGTGGGGGGGGGGGGGTCGAGTACCTGTTGGAAAAACCAGATTTTCTTATAAGACTATTGAAAAAAGGCTGAACCAGAAAAAAGCAGGACTCCGTGCAGCCCGTGGAGGGGGCGTTGTGTGTACAACATTGAATTTAAGTCAAGGCCATTACACACTCTGGATGATATATTTATCATCTTTTCAGTGAAATGCAAATGCATGCAATTTTTTCTATTACAAAATTATAGACCTTTGTGTTTGTTTGTTTTAATGTTGTTTAACGTCCCTCTCGAGAATTTTTCAATCATATGGAGACGCCACCATTTGCCGATGGAGATCTGCAAATTTGGACCCACGGCACTCATGGCCATTGAGCATTGGAGGAGCAAATAAGCATTGTCTAGAAGAACACTTAGTTATTTATCACCATACCAAAAATATATCTCATAGGAATATAAACAGAGATTCAGTCCGTTGACTTCAGTGAGGAAGGTTGGATCAATTATATCGTTTATATGGAGAAAAAAATATTGAGTGGATGTAGAAAAGGGTCATTGTCATGATTGTCAAAATAAGATTGAAACCATGGTTAAAATCAGTAAGTACAACAGTTCCGGAGAACGTGTCACAACGTATTGGGGTTGCAATGTTTTTGAGAGCCCGATATCTCACCGGTATGCCAGGGATCCCGCTTCTCTCCACTGTTGTGGTTGTGATCGGGTTATAAAATGTTTCCTATGTCGAGGTGGGAGTGAAAATCTCATGCCACGTTTGGCCAATATATCCAAGAACATAAACATGTACAGACGTCCTACAGGTTTGTTGGAGAACACGGAGGGAAAGTGGACAGTGTAAAGTTATTTTCATAATGTGTGTGTAAGGGGGGGGAGGTATATACATAAGGGACAGTTTGTGACTGTGATAATATATTTTATTGTACACATCATTGTACATTTTGTATTGTTCTTGTATTCCACCTTATTTCAAATTGAAGACTACACCCTGTATTTCCTACAAATATGCATCGACTATTGCTTCCAAACTTTTTAATTACAAGAAAAATATATAGAACCTGGATATTGAGCATCTGAAACATAATCCTCCATCGTGTAATTGTTCTTCTTCACCCTACAACTATAGTCTTGCTGGGCACGTTATTACTGGTGACGTAAATAAGGTAATAATGAGGACCTTAAATCACTTTTTAAAAGGGCCAAAATTTAGGGAACCTCGATCCTTCAACTGGAATCATAATTTCATAAATATTATGAATTCTGTGGAAGATTACTCCAGGCGATGGGACAGACGTGAAAAGAAGACCTTGACACTTTCTCAGAATGGATTAAATGTATCAGATGTATGTTAAAATCTCGCATTAAACGATTGAGGGGCAATATGAAAACCGTCTATCCTTCTGTGTTCAATAATTCAGAAGTGAAAAAAGAATTTGATAGACTACACGATCAGTACGTACTGGTCCCAGCTGACAAAGCAGTTAACAACATTGTCTTAAGTTTGTTTGTAAGGCTCATTATTTTAATTGTATTTTAGAGGAGCTGGGATTTAATTCTACAAGTGGTAATCCAAATAATTCTAAGGAGGAAATTCTTCAAAATCATATGTCAGTTTTTAATATTCCCAACAACCAAAATGAATTTGAATTACCATATTTATATTGGATTTCGAAACTTCATAAAAATCCCTACAAACAAAGATACATAGCGGGTTCCAGTAAATGTTCTACCAAGCCTCTTTCTTTGCTCCTCACTAAAATATTAACAGCAGTGAAGGAGAAACTTCAGGAGTACTATGCAACAATATATTTGAGAAGTGGTGTAAATCAGATTTGAATACTTAAAAATTCCAAGGAACTTTTGGAAAATTTGAAATCACAAATTTTGCCAAAATCAATTACATCAAAACTTACGACTTTTCAACTCTATATACAACCATTCCCCACGGTAAATTAAAGTGGAACTCGTAAATTTACTTACCTTGTCATTTGTCATTTGCAAAATTATTTTGTTAAAAAACATTCTGATTGTACACACAAGTACTCTGAAGTTAATATTAAAAAGATGCTCGAGTTTCTGATTGACAATATTTATGTGGTTTTTGGAGACCAGGTTTTCCAACAATCTGTTGGAATTCCCATGGGTTCCAATTACGCCCCCTTATTAGCAGACCTATTTTGTATTCATATGAAGCAGAATTTATTCAAAATCTTATGCATGAGAAAAAGAAAACTCATGCTGTGGTCTTCAACTCGATATTTAGATATATCGACTACGTATTATCAATTAACAATAGTTATTTCCATTCATATGTCGACACGATATATCCCAGTGAGCTTGAAATAAAAGATACCACAGAGTCTGACACATCTGTTTCATATTTGGATATTTTACTAGAAAAAGATGTTAATGGTAATCTAACAACCAAGCTTTATGATAAACGTGATGACTTTAACTTTTCAATCGTCAACTTCCCTTACTTATGCAGCAATATACCCTCATCACCTGCATATGGGGTATATATCTCTCAGTTGATTCGATACGCAAGAGCATGCTCTACGTATGAACAATTTCTAAAACGAGGTAAGCTATTGACAAACAAGTTGATGGAACAAGAAAATCAACAGTCTCTTTTAAAATCATCATTTCTTAAGTTCTATGGTCGATACAATGACCTTGTCAGCAAATACATGTACAATCTATCATTGAGGCAAATGCTGACTGACGTTTTTCATACTAATTGTTAGGCCATTATTTAACCACTGAATTGTCGACGGATTTTCCCGTTATTTCCCGATCATGACAAGGAGCACACGGTGGGTGTGACTGGTCGGCAGGGGGTGCTCACTCCTCCATGGCACATGATTCCACCTCTGATGTTTTTGAGGCCTGTGTTTGCTCTGTCCTGATTTGTATTGTTTAATAACTTTTGAGCTTAAATACTGTTCGTTATCTCCATATATTTCATTCGTAAAAGAATTAAACAGAGCCTAGCTCTCTTATTTTATCCCTGTCCTCTTAGAAAACTGTAAGATTGCTGCATTCTCTACTACATATCTCAGTTGCTGTAACCATGTTTTTAGATGTAAACAACATTCCGTGTCACCGAGAGCAAGCGCTTGACTGAAGCTGAACGCAGCCAAACGACAAAATAAAAATAAAAATGTTTCGACAAGTTGTGTATAAAACAGTCCTAGAAAACAGCAAGATCCTTGCTACAAATGTAGTCAGACTGGACATTGGTCGACGAATGCCAAGAAGACATTCAGGATTTTGTAAGCGAGGCATAGAAAACTGACAAAACAGAACAGTCAAAGGAGTAAAAAATAAGGAAAATTTTATACACAGGACCGTGGAGGATGTGATGAAACCAAAAAAACAGAGAAAGATCCTCCCAGTAAACTGTCTTAGTCCCTGAAATTACAGAAGAAATGGTATTTTAACATTTTGATTTATTGTTTTGATGTTGTGATTAAAATTCATGTGAATAAAGTGTAGAAAAGCAAAATATGTCTTATTCTTTAAGGGTGGTAAAAACAGGTGTAAAAATGGATCTCTGCCAAGTGTTTAGACAGTAAGCTAGGCTGTGATTTGAATTCGTGCCAAGTTTGACGTCACAAAAATGTGCATTTGCTTTGTACAGTGTGTGTATTGAGAGTGTGTGTTATACTGACTCGGCGGATTTTCTTTTGCACAGGTACATGTATATCCCCCCCCCCCTCGTTATTTCAGGTTTTGCACACGACCCCCACCTCCAAGCACCGAGTCATATTTTCTCTCCTGATTCAGTCTTTTTTCAATAGTCTTATCAGAAAATCTTATTTTTCCAATATGTACTCTACCTCCCCAGACCCCCATTATGGGTTTCTCGCAGTTGGCCCTAAACGTGCACTCAGTTGACCAACACAGCGAGGCTGCTAATACTACTGACAAAGTGCGCTGGATGAAACTATGCCATTCAGTTAACTGAAACGTGACTGAAAGTCTACTGACAGGCGACTGAGTGGCAGAGTTCTGCCATTTACTCACCTTTCCAGACCTTTCAGTGAACATTTAGTTCACTGAAAGGCACAGTTTGGTCCTTTGGTATCTTCTATCTAAGATTGATCCTTCGACACTCGACAGTGCAATGTACAGAAAAAGAATTCCAAACTGAAATTAATTGTCAGTTAGATGGAGGTAGTTTTTTTTAAAGTATTTTGAAAAAGTCAATATAACCGTATTAAAAAGAAAACAAAACACACATATGCTTTTTATTTATTACACTGAAAGAATTTTAAAAAACTATTTTTTTTTTTTCTCTGTAAATGTAAACCCTCTGATTTATATTTCAGAGGAAGGGAATGCCGATTTTTTCATTAAAAAAAAAGAACCAACTGCAACATTAAAAAACTTTAAGACTAGATTGAAAAGACTCATAGTAATATGACCACGTAATTTGAATGTAATGTAATATATAGAGGGAATGCTGGCAAGGAAATGAGTGGCGCTGTGGATTGGAATTAGTATAGCCCTATTCCGTAGACTCTTCCCAAAATACATAAGTTCAAAGTAAAGAAGGAAATGGTTTCCAAATTTATAAACAAAAAAAATTAACGATGGACAAGTTTTAAAATTAAAAAGGCAAATGCAGGTACGAGGCGAATTTGGCCGGTAATAGCTTTCGAATTGACTGAAACATTTAAGAAAAGGGTGTTTGATAGAACTTGTAGACAATAATTAGAAAAATGAATGATCAAATGACATGCATATTAGTCTAAAAAATTTTGCGTTATTATAAGAGGTTATGCAGTGTTAATGGCCTTAACTAACATTTGCCCTTTTGTAGTTCTCATCAATTATCCAATTACGTATACATTTCAGTTATCCATAATCGAAGAATAGAGGCCACTACCCGATCGTAACGGCAAGACAATGCCTTTTTTCAATGTCGTTATTCGACAGATTCTTATTTTTCGCTGAAAAGGCACATTCAAAGCAACATAAGGCTCAAAACCGTAGACTCTGGTGACAAGTAATGTGCTTAGTTCTGGGTTTTATTTCCCGTTGACTCTTTTTCGCCAAAACGTGACGTGATGCTAACATGAAAATCCTTATTTCATAATTCAGAGGGATACATTCCGTGGTAATCGAGTTAATGATTTGGATTGCCATCTACCACAATTAAACAATCTTTAATTTTGGTTGAATCCACATTTTATGTACACCCTTAAAACACAGCATATGATATGCACGTTTTTAAGCAAATGAAATACATACATGTTGACATAAAAATATTTACATTTAAGTGCGTATCTGAGATGCAATTTACATGCATTCTCATTTGATTATTGTAAGGAAAAGTCTTCTTTAAAAAGTCATTTTTTCACGTTTTGTGAACCTTTAACAGTCCAAAATCTGTCGTTGTAAGTATCTTTAATAAGGAAGAATACAGCATGGTCCGGGTGATGCCTGGACCCAATCGGATTTTCAGTGTTATTAAATAAAATCAAAATGGCTACAAGTTTGGCTTTCCAGAAAGCCTGAAATGTCATCTCTTTGGCTCCAAGAATGTCACAGAATAAACAGTGGAATGTTACATTTTTTCTCAGCTATAACAGGCAGCAGTATCGCTTTTGAAAAAAAATGGGGGGGGGGGGGGGAGGGGGATGACGACTTACCCGAACAATCTTTGACAAGGGAAAAAAGGGGGTGTCAAAACTCAAAATTTTTATTTCTTGAAGGGGGAGGGATTACAACTTTTCCGACAAACACTTTTAATTAAAACATTCCCACGGGACAATTTGACATATACTATACTGCAACAGAAGGTGGGGGTGGGGGATGGGGGGGGGGCAAGGGTGCGCCTATCAATGAACATTTTCAACAGTAAAAAGTTATATTTGGGAAAAATGTAGAAGGGGGCGATCCTCCTTATGCTACGTCCTGTATTATTTTATCTGTTGTAAATATGATTTATTCATTTTAAATATTTTTTTGTACAATTTCTTTGAATAAAAAATTCTAACCACTGGGATATATTCGTAAAAACTAGTTAACAATTAATCTGCAAAAAGATGGATAAAACCTTAGCGTTCCTTTTGACTTTATTTCACAACCGCTTACTCTGACAGCTGCCAAGAAGTTTTAAAGCGCTAACTTAAATTAGTCAGAACCTGAATTAATTTCCGAATTTTTTTCTTAATCGTATCCTCCGAAGTGACTTGGCCATCGAGCCACTGGGAATATCAAGGTAAAAATGAGACACTCCTGCATCATACCCTTCTGCTGGCCAGATTCTCATTTTAATGTTATATTGTGTATAACATAAGTACGTGTATACAATCCTGGGAAAAAAAGCATGGTATAGAAAAGTGAAAGTTAAAGGCCATCAAATTAACTTTTCTTGCATTGCAAATATAGCCACTTTTAAACATGTAGCGTATCCAAAGAAATAACGCTCACGTGCACTTTAATAGAGGTAAATAATAAAGTTGAAACGTTACCATTTAAAATTATTTGCACACTCCAATCTACCAACACCGATTTTGAAGGCTGCTTCAGGAGACACACATTTTATATTATAATTTTGGCTTTATTTCTAGAATACGAGGAGAGATTTTATGAGTTTTTCCCATTAGCAAAAAATGCAAATTAGAATTGCATAAAGAAAATGATAACAGGTGCTTTATTTTAAAATCCGAGCCAGGTAAAGAAAATTGTGTCTTTTTGAATTCCTAAAACTTTTATGCAGGGGCATTTAGATCACATTCAAATAAAAGAAGAATAGTGCAGACATCCGAGAAAATAATCATTCTTTATTATCTTTATTCCAATGCCTGCAGCACTGAGTTACTTAAATCAGAGATATTTATGTTTCTGCCTAAATTGTGCTTTTAGGTAAATTTTCTTTTCTTCGAAATACATTTGTCAAATAAGTTCTGTTTTATTTTACATACGACAGTAATTATCGAATATTAAAGTACACATAAAAGTAAAGTATTTTGCCATTGTATTTATGCATTTAATGTGAGTTTCTTAAAAATGTTTTCACTATGTTTTATTCGTCTATAGATTCTTGGATCCACGCCTTGGCTAATACATTCAATATGCCATGTTTTGTGTATTTTGATCCCCGCGCGCTTACCATCGTTTTATGCAATAGCCTAGATATGTGTATTTTGAAGACTCACCACCACCCAAGTGATCCTACCTCTATTACCCTTAATGAACCCTGTATAGTTTTATTTTAAGATTGCCCATTTTGTTTAATGATAATAAGACAGAACGCTTACTAGTATTGTTGTTTACATCTCTATATTTAGAAATCGTGTCATCATCAGGTCATTTGCCAGACCACTAGCTTATCGATGGCAGCTTACACTAGATCTTCACTTCCGGCTTTCAAACTTAATGTGTCATCTCCCGAGGGAGATAACAATGAACCCTTCCCGATCTAAATATGAAAATTTCGAAAGATCTCTAAAAGTAGCTTTTTGAACCCAAAACTGCCAATTCACCCCCTACCCCAATGTATCGAAATGAGATCTTCGCTATAGCCACTTCTTTTTCTTGTTATATAATTTTTCTCCTTATTTTTTCTTGTCAGAAAATATAAATATAATTTGTGATAGAAATATATGACCAGCAGTTAACCCCTCTCATCCAAGGAAAATTTCCTCCCCCATTTGAAAAGTAAAATTTTATTGTATTAATCGATTTCGAAACAAGAGGGAGAGGGGGTAAATGTGAACTATAAGAAAATGTCCAAACAATGAATGATTTAAATCGATTTACCTTTCTTCAGAAAAAATAAGGAACCATCTTCATTGAATTTGAAGCACTATTAACTTTTTCTGAAGTCTTAAGTTTTATAGTTCAGTTGTACCGGCATTAACAATATATGTAACAAAACAATCATATGTAACTTTTCCTACGCGTAGACAAGAAATCTAATTTCCTCACCTGTATTAACGTGTCTTCTATCTTTGGACAGGTATTCGGCAGCTATTTGAAGGTTCCAGTTAGCTGAGAATAAATCTAGAATTACCTACGACACAACAATCAGCGTGTTATGAAATAAGATGATAATGGTTTTAAGTTATTTTTTTTTTACAATTATACATGTACTTAATTTCTGAACTCGGGGAAAGCGAGACGGAATGGAATTTGTTCTTATCCCTGCACACTATGCAATGCTACAAGACGAAATTGGTGCAATGCATCAGATTGGATGAAAAAAAAAATAGCATTTGGAAGTTTTCACAAGAAAGAATCTAAGATCAACACACACCATTTTTATTTTAAAGTAGAAAGGGTATAAACATTTCCACAGTTGCAAGATAAACAGAAATAGTATAACTTAATCTACAGTGCTATTTTTTTTTTTTTTTTTTTTTTTTTTTTTTTTTTTTTTTGAGCAAGATGAATTATTTCCTGGTTAGAAGAATCAGGATAGAAATGTATTACATGTATAATCAACTTAAATTTTCCGATATCCAGATCTATCTCTATTCGGGTTTAATCGTTTGCGGTTTTAATCGTGCGCGATCGTGCAGTTAAAAGTTTTACTTTGCCTAATAAATCCATGTACCTGTACGAGTCCATATGCTTGTATGTTTTGTTTTGCTTTTAAGTGCTAAGGCCAACTTTAAAATAATGTTTGTTTGCCCTCTCCCGACTCAGGATGAAAAAATTGGGTCGGTATGTAGGTGAAGAAATTTTTTCTCAAAAAATTTCAATTTCAATGCTAAATTTCAATGCTAAATTTAAAAAATCTATTGTCCAGAATACATAAAAAATTGCTTCCATGAGGTTAAAAAAGTTTTTAGTCGGGCTATTTTTAGCCCGTCGGCAGGGAGAGGGCAACTAAACAAGTTTTTAAAGATGGCCTAATTTTATATCCAATATCAGACAAAGACAATAATATAAGAATGGTACTAATGAGATGTTTTTATCTATACACTACAGAGTCATATTAAGGATTTTGTAGCTTTTGTGAAATTCCTATATAGAAAGCCTGGCAAGCATCAAATATACATGTTTATTAAACAATATACGCTTAAAGCATACATCTCTTTTTAAATTGCGCCTGAATGAAATTAATTAATTAATGATAATAATAATAATAATGCTTTATTTAGAGAAGGTAACCCGATTAGTACAAAGTACTATTCTTCCCCGGGGCCTTCTACAATTCAAACAATATACATTAAACGGTACAATCAAGCATATACACTGTACATGAAAAAGATAAGCTCATTATTTGTACAAATTAATGAAATTATAGGACAATAAAAAAGTCAATATAAATAACTTAGTAGAAGTGGTTTACAATAATAACAACAATGACATTTATAATAATAATAAAAAAAAATACAGACATTGGCTAATTATAATCTTTTCCAAATTCTTTCTAAAGACAGGTAAAGATGGTGATAATTTAACATGTAATGGTAGGCTATTCCGTAAATGTACTCCTGAATATTGAAGTGAGTTTGTAAATAGAAGTGTTCGATGTTTTGGTAATCGAAGATTATAATTTAATTGCGAACGCAATGAATAGGAATCGGAGCTATGAAAAATAAAAATAACTCGGAGATATTCAGGGCTAATACCATAAAAAGTTTTATACAATAAAATACACTTATGAAATGTAACTAACTCAAATACATTTAACCATCCTAATTTTTCAAACAAAGGCTTAGATGGTTGGTCAGGTGCTGCATCAAGAATAATTCTAGCAGCCCGTTTCTGAAGTTTATGAATTCTTTCAATGTTAGACTTGGACGCATTACCCAGGGCATAAGACAATAGTTTATTGAAGGCAAATGTATGCATTATAGAAGAGTTTTCTGGTACTTAATGGAAGAAATTTCTTAATTTTGCTGAGCGTAAATAATTTGTATCTTATTTAAGGATTTACAAACTGAATCAACATGACAATTATACTGAAGAGTGTGATCTATCTGAATACCTAAGAGTTTTTCAACTTCAACGTTTTCAAGTTTTTTGCCATAAATTTTTTGCATCAAGTACTGGGTTATTTAACCTTGATCTCTTTTGTTGTGCACACATAATCATACAATTTGATTTGTCTGTATTCAGAATCATTTGATTCTGTAAACACCATTTTTCAATTTCACATAAATCAGAATTTAAATATGTTTCAATATTATGTACATTGCTGCTAGGTAAATGCAGAGTTGCATCGTCTACAAACATATCAATATTAGAATAATTAACACATAAAGGAAGATCATTTATATACAATAAAAATAGGAGTGGACCTAAAATAGATCCCTGTGGCACCCCTGCTGTGATAGGTAAAACATCGGAAGAACATGCGCCAATTTTTACATTTTGGGTTCTTTCGTTTAAATAAGACTGAAACCACTTAACTGTAAGTGAATCAAAGTTATAATGTCTTAATTTCTGTATTAGGATATCATGACTGACTAAATCAAATGCCTTACTGAAATCTAGAAAAGCTATGCCAATGAGATTCCCTTGGTCCATTGCATGCAACCAGTTATCAGTAAGTTTGGTTAGAGCTGTTTGGCAAGAATGGAACTCCCTAAAACCAGACTGTGAGCTCATAATGAGGTCAAAAGCTCTGGTGAATTCACGTACTTGATTAGCAATGTGCTTTTCAAAATTTTTTGACAAAGTTGGTAAGATAGATATTGGTCGGTAGTTACTTGGATCACTTCTTTCACCCTTCTTATATATAGGGGTGACTTTAGCATGATTCAGCTGGGAAGGAAAGATGCCATTAGTAATGCTAGTATTAATAAAATGGGTAATGGACTTAGAAATTACATTTGCAGAAAGTTTTAAGAGACGGGAACCAATGAAGTACTACTCCTGCTGATTTATTAATGTCAAGTGTGCGTAGCATTGTTAAGACTTCGTCCTGGCTTATAGGAAGTAAGCTAAACACATTTTCATCACCAAGTTTGGACTTAGTGAATTCTTTTAACTTTTGAAAGTTAAAGCTGTGGATTGGTGTTTTAGTTAGTAATTGCCAGAAATTTTTGTGAAGTGCTCATTAAAAACATTCACAATGCCTAGTATATCGTCAACTTGTGATCCGTTGTCCTTAATAAGAGTGGGAGAAAAAATTTTTGACTTAGAGGCTAAATGATTGAGATAGCTCCATATTTCTTTTGGATTGGAGCTCTCCTCAATTGCTGATTTATAATAAGTACATTTCGTATTATTAATCAAGAGTGTAACTTTATTCCTCCAATGTCGAACATTTTCAAAGTCTTTATGTTGATGATAGTAATCTCGTATTTGTCTAGCATCATTAATTTCTTGCGTAAACCATTTTGGACGAGACTCAGTTTTTACACATTTAGTTTTTACCTTAGCGTGCTTATTGAGAATAGTATTAAACATATTGTATAAGTTTTCCAGTATATCATTAGGGTTGTGTAGATTTGTTTGAACATTAAAATTGGCACTTTGTAAATCAGAGATAAAGTCTTTTTCATTAAAATTCTTAAAGTCCCTGTATTGAATTTCAGTATGTTTTCCCTTACGCTGCATGCTGTTAGATCTACTCGTTGCACAAACAGGGTAATGGTCAGAGATAGCTATGGATGGTATTTGTATTTCGCAGATGTTGTCAGGTTGGGTAGTGTAAAAATGATCAATAAGGGTACATGAGGTGTTAGTAATTCTATATTTCGTGGTAATGGAGTTACGGATTTAGATTGCCATCAACCACATTTATATAATCCTTAATATTGATTGATTGCACACTTTATGTATACCCCCTGAAACACAGCATATGATGCACACGTTTCTAGGCAAATGAATTCCATACATGTTGTAATGAAATTTACATTGAAGTGCGTATCTGATATGCAATTTACTTGTATTTTCATTAGATTATTGTAAGGAATACTATTAGTCTTCTTTAAATAATCATTTTTGCACGTTTTGTGAACTTACAACAGTCTAAAATCTGTCAATGTAAGCATCTTTAACATGGGAGAATACAGCATGGTCCGGAAATGCTTGGAACTAATCGGATTTTCAGTGTTATTAGATAAAATTAAAATGGCTACCGACCCTTACCGATTTAATGAACAAGGTGAAGGTAATGTACAGTGATTGATCTAAAAAATATATCAACAATACAAATCTGTGAAGAGGGCATAAAAAACGGACCTGTGGAAATTCCAGAGGTGGGATCAGGTGCCTAAGATGAATAAGCATCCTCTATTGACCGGTCAATTCCAGAGGTTGGACCTAGGAGGAGTACACATTCCCCTAGACTGGTCACACCCGCCATGAGCCCTATTTATTGAACCGGAAGAAGGAATATTCCGTAATCAAATTCAGTATAAAAACAAAGGCCTAACAATTGCTATGAAACAAGTCAGCCAAAATACGACCCAATGATAGGTTATGTTTGCTATCAAGGTCATTATAACGACAAAAGAACTTACAAAATGCTGAAATTGAAATGTGAATATTCCGACAGATCTTAAAAAAGGAAAGTTTCTGAACCCAAACCACCAATTCACGTCCACCCAAAATGCAACAAAATGAGATCTTCGCTATAGTCACGTCTTTTTCTTGCTTTAGCGTTTTTCTCTTTTTGTTTCTTGTTAGAAAATATAAATATAATTTGTGATAGAAGTATATTATCAGCAGTTCACCCCTCTTCTAAGGAAAAATTTCTTCTCCCATTTGAAAAAAAAATTATTTTATTAATCGAATTCGAAGCAAGAGGCGGGAGTTGTAGAAAAATGAACTATTAGAAAACGCCCAAACAATGAAAGATTTAAATCGATTACCTTTTTTCAGAAAAATATTCCTATATGCAGACAAGAAATTAAATTTCCTCACCTGTATTTACGTGTCCTATACC